TCGCGGGTGCTCTCTCTCTCTCTCAATAAATAAATAAAATCTTTAAAGAGAGGGCATCAAAAGATGACTGCCACAGTCTTGTGGACACATTGGCTAGATTCAGAAAACCTGAGTATGAAATTATGCCCTCACAGGTGTGTTTACCAATACATTAACTGGTGTGCTATGTGCTTTAGAAAAAGTAATGAGGAGTCGAATTCTATCACCAAATTCCACAGGAATTTTCCATAGAGTGGAGCACTTCCCCCCTTTTAAACTAGTACCCCCTTTTCATAAAACTAAAAATAACATGTATTCCTCATCCGCCCTGAAAAATCTCAGACTCCTTGAGACACTGTCTTCCTGCACATCCCAGGAGCTAAGAGACGTTCTGTCTAGCTTCACTTCCTGCAGTTTGTATTATGAAAAGAGTTGCTAATTCCTTTTTTTTCTCAACTTACAAAGTCTCGTTAGCAAACATGCCTCTTCTTGCTTGGAGATTCTCAAGCACCCCCCTGCGAGAAGACCCTGCCCCTCCTGCCGGCGCCCCAGGGTGAGAAGTGCTTAGGGGAGGATAAAGCCAGACCTGCATAAAGCAGATTTGCCTGCTGTGGGCACGCGATCTAACAACTGGGTCATCTAACAACCAACAACCCTGCATGGAGCACATACCCTGTCCCCGCCTCACTTTATCTGCTTCTCACACCAACCCTGTGAGGTTGGGACCAGAAGCCTCATTTAACAAGTGAGAAAACTAAGGCAGAAAGATGTTCAGCAGCTTATGTGAGGCCACGTGGCTGGGCGAGTGGCAACAAAGGATTTGAATCCAGGTCCGTCTGAAGCCCAAGCTTGCCTGCTGCCCTGTGATGTGATAGGGCCTCATCCCTCCCGCCCGCCCGCACGTCACCCCTGCACCGCAAGTCACCCCTGCACCACAAGTTCTGCCTTACCCAGAGGCTACCTGTACTATCACTTACTGAATAATATTTTTCTTTAACTTGAAGAGCTAGTTATATTTTTTCTAACACATGTTGAAGTACTAGATTTTAAATGCCCCATGTCACCTCCCACCCCGTACGCCCACTTCATGTCACGGGCCTCCAACAGAACGGGCCTCACCCAGGCGTGCCCTCCACTGAGGACCCTGAGGCTTGCTCTGGGCAGACCCTCCAGTGAGTCAGGCAGCTGCCACAGTGGGGTCACCAGAAGCACGCTGGAGCTAGACACATGCACAGCATGGACATGGCTTCAGGGGAGGGCATGGGCGCCTCATGGTAACATGACGATTTCTCTAAGCCAAGGGCAGGAAAGATACGGTCTGCAGGCCTGCTTTTGTAAATAGAGTTTTGCGGGAACACAGCCATGCCCGTTTGCTTACATATGTCCGTAAGTGCTTCCACACTACAAAAGCAGAGCTCCGCACTGGGTCGCTACAGAGACCACAGCCCAGAGTGTTTACCGTGTGACCCTTTGCAGAAAACGTTTACTGACCGCCACTCTAGGTGATACATTTCCAATCCAAAAGTCAGTTGGCAAACACCAATCCATAGGTAATATGGACATTACCTACGATTCTGCTGGTAAGTATGTGAATCAAATTTCATTCCATTCCACTTAACCAATACTTATTTATCGACGGGGCCCTACACGACAGTCTCGGCGAGGGGCTAGGTTTACAGAGGCGAACAGAGCTGGAGGAATCAGGATATAAACAAATAATTTCAGTACAACTCAGTAAGACATTAGAGTAGGATCTGATGTTTTATTTTTTCCTATAAAGTGGATCCTGGAAACCTGATCTTTTTGTTCTTTGAAACTTTGAAATTCTGAAACTGTAACCATGGGCTAAGATCTCTTTCTCTCCAGTTTTTTTTTTTTTTTTAAAGCATAAATACTGGAGATGAAACTATTTCTGTGAAATTACTCATTAACTTTTTCAGGAAAGATCAACTTATTGGAAGTTTCCGTAATTGCCAGATTCGCTCTGGGCTCCTGGCTACACAGTTCTCATCTCTATGTTGAGAGTGGAAAAGGAAAAGGTATCGAGACATCAAGGGAGACGGGGTCAGTTAAAGAGCCAGACTTTTGTTTTTTAAGATTGAGTTTTTAAATTGGAATCCTTATTAATTGGGCCACATATTAACCTTTTGCTGGAAAAGGCATGAGGGACAGAGACAATGGCCGGGTCTAGCCATGATTTCATTATCTACTATCTGTCTTTGCAACTCAACTAGCTATCAGGTGAATTAAGGGGAAAACCAATTTCTACCTCCTGTGGATGTGATGAAATTGATTATCCTTGGGCAGAGCAGAGGAAGACCGACAATAAGGGGTACTGCTGAGCATCTGTGCACCTGTCCCGCCCTGATAACTGTTTATGTGCACCGGCTATTGATGACGCCTTTGTAGCACACAAAGAAGGTTTTTCACTGAGCTTCACAAGTGGAAACAGAATGCATCCGTTTCTAGGGAAACCTGACCAGGGAAGCTCGCAGGCTTCGATTCATAGAATGCGTCCCCATGCACACAGTGGCCCATTTGTACGGTAACACCCCTCCTCCTCATTTACCTCATCCCATTTGAAAAATTAATGCAACAATGAGAGATGATTGTTGATGTTCGTTATTAAATCATTTATTCATCCCACACAATGATTCAGAATTATTCATTAAGCTTGCTGGAAGGAAGCTGGGTTTTACCTCCATGGTGGTTTGAGGAGGGATGCGCTCTTTAAAAGGATATTTTATAACAACACAATTATCATAATTAAAAGCTACCCTGATATTCTGATGAGCTTTTGACGTATTTTTGAGCGCTGGCATTTTAACACAAGGAGATAAATGAGACTGGAACAGTACTAGGGAATAATACTGCTCTGGGGGAAAAGCTGGGGGCAACATTAAACAGCACCATTACCCCCAGTTTTATCATGGTCCTTTATTAATGTATTTTACAAAATGTCACTTGAACTTCTGGCTTTCCCAAATGAGTCCAAGAATTACATTCTGTAACCTGAGCCATCTTCTGCATTACTGAGTCATGGGTGCATGCATTCCCCATGACAGCCTACCTACCCATGCTGCCAAACCAAGCAGGTCACTCAGCCCGCCGCCGAGCTGGTCCACATCTGGCCTCTGATCTCGTCCCAATACTGCCCCTGGTTTGTTGTGGGTCTGAGAGGCCATAGGGCAAAGAGCCTGGTTTGATAAGCCACCAAAACTGACAGGTGACAGCAGGAAGGGCACCCATCTCTCTGCTTTTGCCTGGTTAAGCTGGCTTGGGTGAAGATCCTGAGGCCAAGGACCAAGAGGATGCCTTCTCATACACGAAGGTGCGTGGCAGGTATAGTGGGGGCCACGTGGGAAGAGAGAAATGGGCTGCTGTGTGGCCCTGGGAAGCCAGCAAGTGGATCATGGCAGAGGCACACAAGTGGCTTTACCCCAGAACGAGGGGCTTGGATGCTGTGGGATGTGTGCTCGGCACTTGGAAGGCACCTTGGAGAAGCCTGGCCTGGGAGCTCCGTGAGAGCATGGACCTGGGCTGCTCTGTGCCCGGCATACGGTGGGTGCTAAACAAGTAAACGGGCCATGTCGGTTCTTCACTCACTCCACAGATACTAGTGAAGCGCTGATGACGAGCTAAGACTGGAGCCAGGTGTCCTGAATGCAGAGACGACCACAGCTGCATCCCCACACTCAAGGAGCCAGGTCTACTGGGCGACTGAGATGAGTCAACACATACAAGTCTGCTGGGATCAAGGAAAGCTGAGGAAGAACCCAGGAGGGGCTGGGGGCACCTCCTACAGAAGGTGCCGAAGTTGAGTAGCCGGCCAGGTGAAATGGAAGAGGCAGACCCCATGGGGAAGAGTGGGGAGCTGGCCGCGTCCTGGGGGTGGGGGGACCCCAGAAGGGAGGGGCGCTGTGGAGCTGCTGCTATGACCCAGATGGTGGCCTCAAGAAGTGGACAGTCTGGAGAGATGCTAAAGGCACTAGGAATATCAAGAGTATTCTGGGCAAGGAGGCCCTACTGGAGATGGCTCTGTCAGCGTTCCGGAGCCTGAAGCCATTGAGAGCGGAACAAGACGACTAGCTCCTCTGCTCTGGCTCATGCTGAGCAAGCAAGCTCCTGATTATCACTTGGCTTCCCGTGTTGCCGGCCCACGGGAAGAGACTGCTGCTGGGGCTGAGGGGGAGGGTTTCAGTCTCGCTCTAAATCAGTCACCTGGCATCCTGCAGGTAGCTATCCATCTGTGAGCTGGGGCAACCGGAGCCCACCTCCAAGACACAGACCAGCTCTGGGTGTGCTGACAAATCCTTCCTGAGCCTGCAGAGCTGCAGGCCTGAAGCGGAGGTGGCTGGCGCATCCTGAATACAACGCCAGGCTCCTGGTGGGTGGGCAGCAGGCGTCCCCCGAGGGGCTGCCTTGTCACAGCTGTGGCTCTCTCTTTCTAAGGGTCTACAGGTCTCCGTATCTGGGGGTGCGTGTGGGCTGCATGTGGTCCTCCAGCGATGGGAAACCCAGAACCACATGCCACTCAGGAATGTGGCTGACAGGAGCAGAGAACAAAGAGCAGTCACGGGGATGGCATTTGCATCATTTAACGTTTGATATGAAAAGAACCTTTTCACTGCCATTAAATGTTCTCTCTGGCATTATTCTCTGTTACAAAATAGTCTCCATGGTGGTGCTGATGCTATTGTGACACTTCATTTCCTTGTCACCAAAATGGTTTTCTGCACCAACTCAAGCATGGCACGAAATTTCAAAGACCTCAATACAAGTTTTCCAACTTCATCTCCATGGAACAGTTGGAAAATGTCTCCAATTATGCAAGCTTTTTGTAAAATGTCTCAAAAATACAGAAGGGCCTATTGTACGTTTCTTAAGGAAATGCGAACACATTTAACGCTCAAAGATGAAGAGTGTCAAGACCTTTTTTTTTTAAACGAATGCTTGCTACCAGGTCAGGCCACCACCTCCCTCTCCCTACCTCCTAACAAATAAACGGATGTATTTAAATGTTAGAAGCGTTTGATGAAGTACACTCTGGAAGGATCTGAAAGGAGGCATTAAAACCAAAACAAGAGACACAACAGTTGTCAGAACCGGAATCCTGCCAAGTCACTGGCCACGCAGGGAAGCGGCTTAGAACGACCCATTTCTCATGAGAGCAACACTGCAGGTGCTGCCAGGAGGGGAGAGGGAGGGTGTGCGGACCAGTACACCATCGTGTGCGTGTGTGTGCATGTGTGTGTGCACACGCGTGTCAAATACGTCATCAGCTGATAAGTGACAGTGGGTTAAACCAGACTAAATACATTTCTCTCTCCTGGTGGAGGAGAATTCAGTCCTCATCCTAGGAAAACTGATGAGGAGGCTCCAGGACCTGCCATGTCCCAGGACTTCCCAGGGTTACATCTAACACCGGCGGAAAGCTGGGCTCTTAAAGATCACCTGCCGTTGAGCAAGTTCCTGCTCAACAGAGATATGAGAAAAGATGCCTCTGGCATCATCCCTTCTCCTGCGGTCAGTACAGCCGCAGTCAGACCCCCTCTGCCCCCAGTGACTGCCTCCCTGCAGGACCCCCATCCTCAGCAGCCGCCACAACTTTACGACCTGTAGGCCAGGGGCTACTGTAATGATTTACAGGCCCCCTGTCCTTTAATCCTAACGGCCACCCTATGACAGAGCTCCTTCTGCTACTCCCACTTTACAGATGAGTACACTGAGGCTGGAAGGGCTGGTCTGAGGCCACACCGTCAGTGGGGGGTGGAGGTGGGGACAGAACCTAGTTCTGGCCAAAGCCCCATCCTCTCCACCCTTCGCCAGGCTGCAGGAGGTGGAAGAAGGATCTGGAAGCCTCCTCTCTAGCCAGCCCTCCCCGCCAGCCCCTAGGGCCCCGGGGTCACTACCTGCTCTGATGAGCTTCTCGGCCACCTCCTTCCGCACGGACTTGGTGAGGTTGAAGTAGTCGCTGTCCTCGTCGATGCTGTGGAGGAACAGCGGGATGTGCTGGAAGACAATGGCGTGCTGGCACTTGCGCTGGCCCGCGATACTCAGCTGCTGGTGCAGCCACTGGTCCTGCGCCTCCTTCAGGGCGGGGCACTGGGAGGCATCGTACCAGAACTGGGAGTTGAGGACGAGGAACAGGACGCCCCCGACCCAGAAGCTGAAGTAGTCGTCCCCCCAGGTCCGCTGGAACTCCGCCACCGTCTCGGGCGTGGGGGTGTTGCCCACGTCGTGGTTGCCGCTGACCAGCACCAGCGGGATGTCGCTGTCCACACGCGCGAGCACCCGCTGCAGGTCCGCGGTCTGCTCCTTCCGCCAGGGCATCCCTGCAAGAGTGAGGGTCACGTCTGAGACAGCCGCGGCTGTCCATGCATTTACGAACATGAGGTAAGAGAGCACGGTCTGGAAACACACTCGACCCGCATGTGGAAACTGCAAACAGCAGCTGTGTGTTAAAAGCAAATCAGTAACTTAGGTGGGAGCCTCTGTCTGCCCCCATTCTCTCAGGATGCCTTGGGAATTCAGTGTCCAAGTGGTCATGTGACCAAACACTGCTGACTGAGTGATGATATGGAGTTATTCTAATATTAAATGTTAGTAAGGTTTCATTTCTTTTATTCAGATGAAAAATATAAATAGTTGTAGCTTTTCTGTCCCATCTCAGTGGGTCATCATGTGTGTGGACCCAGCTTTGAACACTAGTCCCAAACCAACTGCTATTTATAGTTATTCTTACCATACCTGTGGCCTTGCAGACTGCACGAGCACCCTTACGGGGAGAATTATTAGAATCCGAACGGCCAGATCAACTGGCAAATGCATCTTGCCAAATCCCACTCCCCCCGCCCATAAGGGGAAGAGGTACTTTATATTCCACTAACGGTGTGTAAAAATGCAAGGGCTCAATGTCTTAAGTGTGTCTCCCCACCCCACTCCCCCACCCCGGACACACAGGATTCAGTATGGAGATAATGTATTAAAACTTTAATGAATGGGATTTGAAATGACCACTTCAATTCCATATCTTTTTTTTTTTTTTAAGATTTTATTTATTTATTTGACACAGAGAGAGAGAGACACAGCGAGAGGGAACACAAGCAGGGGGAGTGGGAGAGGGAGAACAGGCTTCCTGCTGAGCAGGGAGCCCGATGTGGGACTCGATCCCAGGACCCTGGGATCATGACCCGAGCCGAAGGCAGATGCTTAACGACTGAGCCACCCGGGCGTCCTTGGGATCTGTCTTCTTTTTTGTCTTTGTTTTGTTTTTTGAGCTCCTCTGTGCTAATTTATTCAACAAATATTTATTGAGTACTATGTCTAAGGCACTGATTTCGTTACTGGGGCAAGCTGTGAGCCAGAGACACAAATCCTTCCCTCCTAACTGGAGAGTCAGATAGCTGGCCCAGCAAATGATGGATGCACACTGTCCGTATCAGATGCTAATGAAGCATTATTGAGAAAAACAAGGTGGGGAAACAACAGGATTCCTGCACCACATTAGTCCTGAGGAACATGCTCAACATTATGCACAGACAGCATAAGGAAAAGGATGACAGAGAAGAGCAGCCCAACTTCCCTAGAGATGATGAAAACTCACCTGAAAAACCTTGCCATGAGCAGATGAAAATTATACCCAATAGTCCGTGTCCATCATGAATTTAAAAGAAAGCAAAAAGGGTCCTTACAAAGCAATTGCAGTTAAGAAGGAAAACCTAACACAGAGAGGAATTCAGTCTAGATGGTGATAAAATAGGTGGACGTGAAGCAGGAATGGGTAGAACTAACTCAGGAAAGAAACAGAGGCAAGAGACAAAACTGTTTCAGAACTTACAACTATAAAAAGTTAACAGTGGCAAGATCTCCTTTATAGCCAAGTATATGCCCATTTTTCTAAATGTCCTGTGTGAGCTTGTAGACAATGTACATTCTCTAAATGTTGAATACGGAGCTCCTCGTATCTCCCCTCAATCAAACCTGTTTATGGTGTGATTCAAGTCTCCTGTGTCATTTGTTACTCCTTGCTTTTGGCCTACTGATCCGTGTCAGTTTCAGGGAATCTTGGTTGAGTCTCCGCTGTAACTGTGAACTGATCCATTTCTCCTTGTAATTATGCCAAGTTTGGTGCGCATTTTTACTTGTAGCTATGGTATTGTGGAAGAGGTTAGAATTTCCATATCTCACTGAAATAGCTTTATAATTCATTCTAATAAAATAAATAAATAAAAATAAAAGAGAGGTAGATCTACATTGATACACTCGAAAAATCATTAATATATTAAGTTAAAAAGGTAAGACATGGAGGAAAAAAACACATGTAAATTTTTAAAAGGCTCACACATATTCATATACTATGGATAAAACTTCTTCAAAGACATAAAGAGAACTATAACTCTGCTTAAATCTGGGACACAGGAGGGAGGGGGACTTCCACATTCGGTTCAAAACCCTTAATACTACATTTTAAAAGTTCCTTCCTTCCTTTTTCCAAGCTTATGTAATATTTCCATTTTGTTTTAAAGTGTTTTCTTGGTTTGTTAGTTTGTTTTTTAAAAAGGGGCTTTTAGCCCCAGGATCCCAAGGTTTAAAGAAGATTCAGGAGAGGCCAGTCAGGCAGCTGCATTTCCAAGCAATCCCAATTTCTAGGATCAGTGGAATTTGCTTGGAGAAGGTGTCAGCCGGCTGGTCCGCACAGGGAGAGCTCCTGAGGGGAGAAGCAGGTCCTGCCTGGCACCAGGGACTAGGAGGCCCCTCCCTCGGTGGTGCTGGGCATTTGCCCACCTCCAGCGTCTGCCTCCTCGCTGGTCTGGGCTGGCCCTGGGGCTCCTGGTTTGAAGGGGTGATGGACCGATGCTGCTTCTTTAGCTGAACCCAGACTGTGGGCATCTGTGTTGACTTACATAATCCCCTCTAAGACCCCACTGGTCAGTTCTTTTCCCATGTCAACAAACAGGGAGGACGAATCCTTTATGGCCTTGAACATGATAAACCATTTCAAAGGGACTCCATAAACCAAGGCTAATTCATCACTACTTTCCTTAACCAGCGTTCTAGAAACCCCAAAGCTGCCACTAATGTTCCCTTCTTTCCATTCATACTTACTTGGGGTTACTGTGATACTCAAGAGCAGCCAATACTAACCTGCGCCAGGCACTGTTCTAAGAGCTGTACTCATACTACCTCGGTTTCACAGCCAGTGGGGGCGTCTGCATTTGAACTCACTGTTCCAGCTCACTGTAATGCCTCTCATTACAGGGTCCTGGTCACAAATTAAGGTCCTAGTTCCCTGGGTGACTTCTCCCAGCTGTCCTGATCCACAGAACATGGATTTACAACACACTGGGGTGCACAGTGTCTCCCATTCCTGAATTTCAAAGGGCATTTCATCACGATGCTTCATATACTGATTGAGTCAGACACAAAGAATGTTCAATTAGCTAATGACCATATAGAAAAAAGCACCTTAAAGGAAAGGCTTACTCAAAACTTGGAAAGGAGACCTTTTCTACAAGCAATCTACAGGGAAGAGCTGTGAATTACACATAGTAATAGGATGTTTGTTTCCAAACTTCAGAGGGATCCTGCTTTAGGGGAAATCACAAATATCCCCCAATAACCTGTTAAAAAAAGATGAAACCCACCTTCTCTGGATCCCCTTGGTCAAATATGAGCCTCTCTAGTGAGACTTTTCCAGAACTTTCTGTACCCCTCACATGAGGCATGGTTTGGAGGTGGAGTCTAGGAAACCTGGGTTTGGTCCTTGGCTCTTGCCCCTTACAAGCCATGTGGCCTTGGTGAGTGGTGAGTCACTTGGTTCCTCTGAGCCTTGGGTCTCATCATGTGTGAGATGAGGATGACAGGCTCCATACCTCAGAGGGCAACTGTCAGGATTCATACCAAGATAATGATTTCCACAGTTCAGTATGAACAGGGATGCAAAAATGTTAGCTGTCTTCCTTCCACCCCCACACCCAAATGTACTGAATTCTCCCTTTTTGACCGGTGACTCACAGTGTGCACATAGCAATCAATAAATCATTTCTGAAGGAAAGAAAACATTCCCCAGGGATATAAATAATTTTTAGGTAAGAATTTAAAAGTGAAGGAGTAACTTCTCGATTACAAAAAGCCAAGTTTAAGGAAAACATTTGCATTATTTTCAACACACTTTCATTTGTGTATATCAGAATTTCTTTAGGTCAGAGTATCAATAATCCCTTAGTATTTATTAGCATAGCTGATAGTACATCTTAGTACAGCTTCCTAAAGAAGTCATAATACTATAGCGAAGGCCAAAACCAAATCTAAGTAGCATCAGGAATAGAAAAAACGTTAACTTGGCCAAGGATATAGAGTTTCCATGAGTTTCTTATGGATCAAGTGGGGCTCTGCACTTCACAGCAAGGACAGAAAGAGAGGCAGGGAAAGAAGAGAAGAGACTTTCGTGAAGGAAGAAAAACTGCAAGAAATGACTCAGAAAAGGTGATTCCGTTAACATTTTAGGATTATATATAATGTTCTAGTTCTGTGAAAAATGTTGGTATTTTGATAGGGATTGCTTTGAGTCGTGTGGATGTTTTAACAATACTGGTTCTTCCAAACCATGAGCGTGGAATATCTTTCCATTTGTTTGTGTGAACTTCACAGAACTAGGACAAATAATCCTAAACTTCATATAGATCCACAAAAGACCCTGAATAGCCAAAGCAATTTTGAGAAATAAGAACAAAGCTGGAGGCATCACAATCCCAGACTTCAAGCTATATTACAGAGTTGTAGTAATCAAAACAGTATGGAATCGGCCCCAAAACACACACATAGATTAATGGAACAGAATAGAAAACCCAGAAATAAACACAAACTTCTATGGTCAGTTAATCTATGACAAAGGAGAAAAGAATATCCAATGGGAAAAAGACAGTCTTTTCAACAAATGGTGTTGGGGAAAATGGACAGCTACATGCAAGAGAATGAAACTGGACCCCCTTCTTACACCATACACAAAAATAAACCCAAAATGGATTAAAGATCTAAGCGTGAGACCTAAAACCATGAAAATCTTAGAAGAGAGCACAAGTAGTAATTTTTTTGACATTGGCCATAGAAATATTTTTCTGGATATGTCTCCCGAGGCAAGGGACACAGAAAGCAAAATTAAACTATTGGGACCATGTCAAAATAAAGACCTTTTGCACAGTGAAGGAAACCATCAACAAAACAAAAAGATGATCTACTGAATGGGAGAAGATATTTGCAAATTATACATCTGATAAGGGGTTAAGATCCAAATTATATAAGAACTTATACAACACCAAAAAACCTCCCAAAT